CCCAAGTCGGTCTCAGTCCCCGTCCTCGGCATGTCCGGCCCCATTTGGGCATCTAATGTGAATCAGTCTTGACTCACAACGCCATGGGTTTTTTGCATTTGAAATAGGTGGCAGCTAAGCAAGAGATTGATGTCACTAGTACCTTTGCATCTGATTATGGGTTGTATTGGGACTTGTAATTTTGTCGCCTAAGGTAACATTTACAAGTTCTGTTACCATTGATTTGAGGCTACACCAAAAAGCTCATGTCGTACTGCGAGTGGATGAGTTGAAGAAAATTATGGATAACATTGGAACACATTCATTAATTGGTAGGAAATCACATGGAAGAGGGTAAAATCGTGGATATCCAAGATGCTATGTGAGCCGACTAATCTCAGAACAACCACTTGTTTTGTGGGTAGTCCGGAGTTACCGCATTTGAACTTCCGTGACCACAAAGAGATTTTTATTCCTCCTTGGATTTGAACCTGGAACATCCAAGCACTTTTGACCTTTGGAGTCAAGCTCAAATCAATCAGACCTCACCCTTGTGATTTTGCCATTTATTTGAGTGTGTTATGATAGGTTTCTTGTAAAGGTGATCGTTGCGGGCTTGGACTGGGCTTGGGCCAGGCCTAACTTGTTTTCTTTGTCCAACAGACCTAATATTGTAAACTCAAGTCTTTTTTTCCGGGTTTGACAACTTGCCATTGTCCACCCTATAAATTAACAAATGTGGAACCAAAAAGTAGTGAAAAAAAAACATTGTTGCAAATAAAACTTTAAGCAACTACTCACTCTATCCATTGTTGATCGATTACGACTTCTGACATAAGGATGCTAACAAAGATGACATGCCTTTTGGGTTCTCAAGAAAAACCAAAGAGTCTCAACTTTCATCCTATAACTTCAATAATTTAAATTTAAAATATACTAGTATTATTTTAATTAATGATAAAATATATATTAGTTATAAAACAAAAACGCGTCGGGCGGGCCTGTCCATATTTATTTTTACATTACCCATATCCGTTCGTTAATTTTAACGAACAAACCTGGGATCGTCCATTTTCTCGATAATGATGTATGTATGTATGTATGTATGTATGTATGTATGTATGTATGTATGTATGTATGTATGTATGTATGTATGTATGTATGTATGTATGTATGTATGTATGTATGTATGTATGTATGTATGTATGTATGTATGTATGTATGTATGTGTGTGTGTGGGAGGGGGTGGAGGTTCATTTCAAAAGTGGTAAATATTTGAGATGTAAAAGAAGTGATCATAACACTGCATCTAGTGAATATTTGCGGCTTTGATCGTGAAGCACTGAATAATTACTCGCATGAGTATGTAGAAGATAAAGGTTAGTTTCATAACTTCTACAAATAGGTAACAAATGGTTCACAAGTGAACCCGTTAACTAGTTCACAAATGAACTATTTAACTTATTTATACACGAACTCACTAACTAACTGATTCACATATAAATCATTCGTGAGACCACAACTTTACACTTGAAAGTTGAAACTTCACGGCAAAACATTGTGAAGGTAAAAAAAATGTTTGAACCTCACAGCAAAAACACTGTGAAGGTTACCTGCACAGTGTTTTACTAGTGAAATTTCAAGCGTAAAAATATGGTCTCACGAAAACAGGCTGGTCTCACATGATACCAAGTGTGTATGTATGTGTGTGTGTGAGTGTGTGTGTATATATATATATATATATATGTGTGTATGTGAAATTAATAATTATAAAGTCAAGAAAATAAAATAAAAACTATGAAATTGTGACTTCACACAAACTTCATGGTAAGAACTAAGATTTTTGTACAAGAACCTAAATAAGATGATGTTCTTATAAGAACTCCCCACAATGCAAATTCCTACAAGTTACTTCACTTTTTACTTATAATAAAATAAATTCCATTGGTAGTTCTAATAATCCGTCAGTGATTTATTCAAATTAAAAAATAATTTAATCAAACCACCGATGGAATTTACCAAATCCGTCGTTAATATGTCGATAAACATTAATTTGATTTTTTTGGATTATTTTAAATTTAATTTAGATTTAATTAATTAAATTTTATTTAAATATAAGTAACTAAATAAATTCTTTAATTAAATTCACAATAATGGTTGTGTTGTAGTGGACGGTATGTGACTGGCTCGCCTATGTCATGTCGTCTGGTTGGATCACACATAACAAGTTAGTTTGTTCATATTGCATGGATAAAATCGATTCGTTCCAGTATAGAGTGGAGGGAAAGTCGTGTTGGTTTGACTGTCCTTGCAAATTTCTACCAAGCACACACCCGTTTAGGTGTGATCGAAATCGATTCATGCTAGACGTGCCAAAAAAGGTGATCCATCCTTGTTGCTAACAGGTGAGGAAATAGGGAACAAATTTGCAGCCTTCCTTTGGTTTATGATGGCATCCCGTATGGATCAAATAACTATAGAAAACCTTGTGGCTTGGGATAACATGCAATTGGATGAAGCAAAGCATTTCCTGGAGCTGCTTTATTGGCAAACATCGTTGATCCAACATAACTTCGATGTAATGCACATTGAAAAGAATGTATCTGATAATCTATTTATCACGATTATGGACACCTCGAAGTAAAAAAACAACATCAAATCAAGGAATGACATATAAGAATATTGCAATCGATCAGAGTTGCATATCATGGGGGAACGTAATACAATCCTTAAATCAAAAGGCTCCTACACATTAAACAAAGTGCAAGTACGAATATGATAAATGGTCACAATGCTAATTGATATCAGTTATGTAATTTCACTGATACTCATGTCATTCGATTGATTGGTCCATGATTGAAATTGCTTGGGTCATTTGGGGAAAAATCCCTGTCTGGATTTGTATGTGGGAGAGGTCTCAGGTTTATATTTGTCTTCTTATATAGGAACAAATTTCTTTTGAACTTAGAACTAACTTCGTATTTGTGTATGTGTTGGAGCACTACAAGCGGCTCCCTAGCAAGGAATGTGTAATATATGAGGCGTGGTAAGCTAGGTCGATGAAGGCCTATAATGATGGCTTCAGTGCAGCCAGAAGAACAGCCACTGCCTAGGCCTCGGCACGTAGTCCTGCATATCACCTCAATGTCTCCATCAGCGTGAAGATGCATGCTTATTTTTTTTAACTGGACAATTACCTATGGATCAGTGGGTGAAAATTTCGAAGATAAATCTTCCGAATTATATATATATATATATATCAGTCTGCCGATGATTAGTGCGGAATACTGGCGGTCTATTCCACCGGAGAATTAATTAAAAAATTCATTGGCGGAAAATTTCGTCGTTGATTTAATCTGCCAAAATTATTAAGGCTTAATCATTTTTTTAATTAATGGGTGGAAAAATCAACGACGGACCGAGTCGTTCAATCATTGTACGACCACCAGTGATCACCAGTGACATTTGTGTAAGTGTTGGAGAGAAATTGCTAAGAGGTGAAACCATGCGGTTAAAATGACTATTTTAATTAATTTCCCTAAATCTATACTATATTATAAAATATTTGACAAAAACTCTTAAAAACCATTTTTTATGCATGAAGTATTGTTTATTGATGCATATTACTTCAAATTCAAGATTACAAGTAATTTTACGTAAGTACAACTTATTAAAGCTCTATTTTTAAATTTGTGTAAAATAATCAAATACAGGATAAACATTCATTTTAAATATAAAAAATCTAAAATACAATTAAGATAATTATTGAGTTCTAACAAATTGTTTAATTATCATATTTATAAAAAATTATATTATTAAACCAAAAATAAATTAATTTGTTATTAAATCTAAATTAAATTATAACAAAAATTGAGTTTAAAAAGTTACACCAAAAAAACAAGAACTATTAAATGGTTAATTTAATATTAATATCGATCTATTTTCTTTTCAAAATTTTATGTTATCTTCAAATTTATATTTTATTAAAAAAATAAAACATTACCGTTTTCTCAAAACCACATAAAATCGTATTATATCGATAGAGATCTATTGTGAAAGCACCAAATAGAGTAGCAAGCATGAAAATGGCCTCCATACTTTTGCGAAGCAGAGGGTATCCCGAGCAGAATGGATGTCGATAAGGCTGTTTCCAAAGAGGTGAAACCAGCAAAGGAGAAGTTCCACCAACTGTCAATTTTAGTCCATATATTCTTTAGCCCAACTGCAAGAGAAAAGCATGTCATTGGCGAATTCAACCTCAACATTACAGGGGGCATAGAGCATTGTCTAAGTCGATTCCCATAGAGACCAACCTCTTGAGGCGTGTTCTCCAAAAGAAGATATTAATCTTTGTTGGGAGGAGTTTGTTCCATCTCGAATCCTAGTTGGGATTTTTCGATTTTCTTTCTCAGAGATTTAACATCGAAAGCACCTTTCGATTTACCCTATTTGTGCCTCATTATTTATGAAGTATATATTACGATACTTTGAACATTTATATTGGAATATATGTGTATCATCTTTTTGTAAAAAGTATATAGAGTTTCAAGTGCCCGTCTGGCGTCTATTGATAAAACGTTATGGTAGAGGTCTGATTGAGTCATACTACGATTTGTTTAAGTCTGTACCTACTAAGTGTTTGGGATTGTTTATTTGAAACAATTTATTGTTTTCTACAAAAGCACTTATCAACTTATTATAAGTCAGAAGGTTTTAACTTCTTCAAAAACTCCAAACCATGACACCGGTATAAGTTGTTTTCCAAACACTCAAAAATTGTTTATTATCGGTGTCACACCGGAATAAATCAATAAGTTGTTTTTATAAGCAATCCCAATGAACCCCCTAGATTCGATTAAATACTAATTAAAAAGAAGAAGCGATCACAATATATAATTTGAGATATTAATAACAAAAACATCCCACATAATAAGAGTTTACTTACATGACAAATCAACAACTACAATAAAATCAAGAACCCGATTTATGAGGATTAGTTTCACAAGTTAATTTGATCTGATTCATCGTGTTCTTGATGGCATTCTTGGAACCCTACCGGAATGTTTCTTCATATCAAACGTTTCATAATCATCAGTATCATCATCACCAAAATCTTCATCATCTTCGGTTTCATCGACATGATCTTTAACGATGCGTATATCTTTCCTCCGACTACCAACGCCACTCTTCAACCATTCCACGACCTCTATCATGCTTGGCCGATTCTCTGGATTACTATCCGTGCAAGCCAAGGCGATCTTGACCACAACCTTTAGTTGCACAAGATCAAACCTACCCTTCAATCTAGGGTCAGCAATGTGTTCATATGTGTCCTTTTGTACAAACGGAGTTGCCCATTGTATGATATCACGCTTGATACCTCCAGGGAGCTTCTCTAATGGCTTTTTTGCACTTATGATCTCAAGTAGTAATATTCCAAAGCTGTACACATCACAGCTTTCTGAGACCTTTCCCCACATGGCATACTCGGGTGCAAGGTACCCTAGGGTTCCCTTCACCTTCGTTGTCATATGAGTCACCCCATCTGGTATCAGTTTCGCGAATCCAAAATCAGCAACTTTCGCTTGAAAGTCCGAATCTAAAAGTACGTTGCTGGCTTTTATGTCTCTATGGATTATATGAGGAGTCACTTCATGATGCAAATACCTAATCATCAATGCCAAAATTAATTTAAACAAGACAAAAGAGAAAATAATGTAGAATCTTGATTATCATTAGACCCTTGAGCTAGGAGTACTCGAGTCTTGTAAAGCCGTGCTTCGTTGATTAGAGGAACTTACGCTAACCCTTCAGCTGACCCGATGGCTATGTTCATCCTTCGTGACCAATCTAGGAGACAATCAGCTGCAAGTTGGCCATGGAGGTGAGTAAGCAAGCTGTGGTTAGGCATATAGTCATAGACTATAAGCCTTTCATCTCCCCCAGCATAGAATCCTCGTAGTCCCAACAAATTCTTGTGTCTAACTCTCCCAAGAATCTCCACCTCAACAGCGAATTCCATTTCTGCTTTTGCGTTTATGGACTTTAACCGTTTCACAGCCAACTGCAAGACCATTGAAACTTACTGTATGATTATCATGAACCCCATATGTATATATATATATATATATATATATATCAAAAATTGCGATATCGAAAAGAGTAGGGATAATGGATTGCCTCGGCGCCTTTACTTGTTCGACCCCAATAAACACTCCCAAACCCTCCTTCACCTATCTTGTTGTCGTTATGAAAACTGTTGGTGGCGTGCACTAGTTCTTTGAGGGTGTACATATTCCACGGGTAATCCCTATTCTTTTGGGGACTGCATATATATATATGATTCACATGAAATCGATAAGTAATTATGCAATATCACCTCAAAAGATGAAAACCAAGAACAAAGCAAGAGATTTTGAAACGATCAAGATAGATCATACCTAATCTTTGGATCTTGATCTTCTTTAAAAGTGCAACAAAAACAGTTCTTCAGCATCTTCTTCATCGTTGTCATGATCAAAGAAACTAAGGAACTATAGATTAATTGAAGCTGATGTACTGTAATTAATCAACCAACTGGTGTTAAAATTAATGGTGGAGAGAAGGAGTTATGGGGGAGAACAGAAAACAGGTGGAAACAGCAAGAAGATGGTGATATTTTCCGATGATCACGATGCTGAAGTGAAGAAGTTTGGAGGTGGTCATGGTTTGAAATAGACAGCCTGCTTGCCATCGCCCCTCTCTATATTTGAATACTAATTATGCCATTTTGCTTTTGTTTTTCTACGAAGATGTCTATATTTTGTCGGAATCCATTTAAATTTCACTGCAATAAAATGGGTTTATCGGAATCTTAAAATATTTAAGTTTTCCAATCGGATTTTTAAAGGGTATAAGTTAATAAGAGCAAATTATAAATCATATTTGAAAGTATTATAATAAGTTTACATGACGTTTTAATAAGTTTTTTAGGATGCTTTTCAATTAAAATGTCATATACGGGGCTATTTGGCAGTTGTTGAATGGTTTTGTACATAATCATTAAGTGGTCAGAATGATTAAGAGGCTCTCATGATATAGTGCAAAATAAAATATAATTGTTTGGTAATTGTTTACAATGAAATTAGGGCTCTAAAATGGTTAAGGGAGGTCCATGATACAAAATTATTTAGAGGGTGTTAGAATCATTAAGAGACAAACTTTTTTTATCAAACAAGATTCACCTCTTAATGATTCAGAGATTGCATTTTAATGGAACTATTAGGAGGTAAACAAACAACCCCTCCATTTCTGATAAATATTTATAAACTCATCTTTTTGTAGAACATTTGTGTTTGTCGGACATTTTTCTCTTAATGTCCAATAAAAATAGTTAACAAGACATTTTATTTTAAAAACGTCCTAAAAACTTGTAAAAACACTTAAAACATTATATATAAACATATTATAACATTTTTAGATATGACGCTTTATAGTTTAGTCCTATAAATTTAAATTCTATAAATCATGTTAATAGGAAGTTTCAACATTTTAAACGTCCTATAAGCTCAATTTTTTTATTGTAATCGAAAGTTTTTAATAGTAATTTATTAAATTAAATTCCTTTACATAAATAAATATGATTGAGAACATTAAAAATTAATTAAGGGTTCGTTTACTAAACACTTACTTGGTAAGTGTTTACCAGATAAATTTCTTTATTGGATGAACATGAAAAGGGTCAAGAATCTTATGGGGTAAGAGCAATGAAAAGGATAAAAATTCTTACCCGATAAATAAGGATGATGACTCTTACACAGGTAAGCATTTACCCAGTAACTTGTTGCATTCGATATGTAAGCATTTAGGTAAACGGCTCCTAAGATTTTTAACATAAAACTGAATGAAAAATAAAAAATTATAATATTCAAAGTGGTGTAATTGATATCGACTGGGTACCGTATTAGAATTCTTTTACTTAAGAAAATATAGACATGATGATATTTTTAATTATTATACGAATTTCTAGCAACTCTTTAATAATTAGAAAATTCTATTAAAAAACATTAAAATAATAAATCGAATTTCTTTAATGGCTTGTTACAGTTAACGTTGAATGTGTCCACCAAATTTTGAAGTCTCGTAATTTAATATTTATTTAAAAAAGTAATTTATTAATTATTTATCTATTAAAAAACGCATACAGGAAATGGTAGCCAATAGAAAGACTCCAAAAAAGCCGGATGCGACCAATTTTATATTCATATATATTTTTCAACTTTTTTTAAAAAACTAATTAGTCCTTAAATTAGAAAGTTATATGTAATTATCAGTTTTAATATAGTTTATAAGAGCTGGTTTAGATGAAAATGACGAAAAAATAGAAATATAAAAAGAAAATGAAAAAATAGAATATTATAGATGTCAAATAAAAAATAATTAAATGTTAATTTTAATTATATTTCGTTGATTTTCGATTAAAAAATAAAGAGGGTTGGATTTTGTAAATAACTAGAAGGGTACTTACACAATGTAGCAAGATACATATTAATTTTAATGTTTCATTTTTTCTTTGTCTCAATCGATGTTATAATATGATTTTATGTGAATTTGAGAAAGTGTAATGTTTTTATTTTTAAATAAAATATAAATTTAAATATATGATATAAAAATATTGAAAAAAAATATTGATATTAAACTATTTAAAGTTTCTCTCTTTTTTGTTTATTTCTTTAATTATTTTTTATTTTTGGCTTAATAATATAATTTTTTATAAAAATAATAATTAAGTATTTTCTTAGAAGTTAATGACTATCTTAATTATATTTTAGATTTTTTATATTTAAAATAAGATGTTTATTCTTTACTTAATTTTGTTTATCTGCAGCTAGTTACATGAAGCTTTAATAAGTTGTACTTATGCATAATTTAATTGTAATCTTGAATTTTAAATAATATGTATCAATAAACAATACTTCATGCATAAAACATGGTTTTTAAGAATTTTTGTCAAATGTTTTATAATATAGTGTAGATGGTGATTGTAACAAATTTATAACCTTATTTGTTGTTTAATATGATACTCATATATTATATTTCATTTTTTCAATCTCTTGTAATTTTTATTTGAATTTCTCAGGTTTATAATAGCAGGTTAACCTAATAACTTTCATTTTAATTTAGAACCATGGTAAAAGTTATTAATAGTCCATAACTTTGAGTTTATAAGAATCTCACAAATGCACTTTTCTATATATGTGGGACAAGTTGTTATATATCACATGTGTTTTTACTCTGTATTGTATCAAGGTAATATGGTTAATAATTCTTCAGTTGTTAATTGCAAGTGTATTGTAATATAATACATATGGTTACGATTTTTGTGTTATTAGTCGATGTAATATTATTAATGGGTTTTTGTTTGAACATTTTAAATATGACGTGATATCGTTCGCCGCTTAATGTAATCAGAATTAATTACAAATATCACACTTGATATTGTCGCGTCGTAATAACATTTAACATGATACATGTGAGTGTATTTATCTGTGTAAGATCACAAATTCCAAAATCACATCAAAGATGATAAATCATTAAGAATTAAATCCAATAAGGATCTATAACGGAAATTTCCCAAGACTTCTATAAAGTCCATAGCGGTAGGGGTGTTCGCGGTCCGGTTTGGGCGGTTTAACCCCTCAAACCACAAACCAAATCGTAATGGCGGTTTATAAAATTTTCAAACCAAGCGGTTTGACATCAAGTGCCCAGACCGGTCAAACCAGACCAAGTAAAAGCAGTCTGGTCTGACCGGTTTAGGCGGTTTGTGCCTTTAATGGACTTTATATTAAACTTAAAATATATATATATATATATATATATATAATTTAGAATTTTAGATTAAGTATCCATTTTAACAAAAAAATATCTAATCAAATAAATGTAATAATTAAGCAGCTCTTGAGTACAAAGTCGAGGCAATCCAAAGTACAAACATATAAAGATATAACATATTAGTAAACAAATAAATTAACAAAGTTACAACTCTACTGTGAGTATTGAGTAACAAAATTCACGACTTCACAACTTTCAATGGTTCAATTCTTAAGTCTTGATCAAACAAAATAGAAACCAAATCTAAGTTGGTTGAATCACTTGGTTGAAGTCTTGATAATGTGCGCCGAAATCAAACCATGGATTAGAAAGATCAATAGATTGATAGAGTTTTGAGGGATTTCAAAATTTGGAGACCGTCAATATCAAATGTGTCGATATGTTCAATGGTTTAATGGTTTTAGTCGTCGATTTTGATTATGTTAATTTGGGTCATAGTCAATAAGTTAAAAAAGTTGGGCTTGCTAATATTAAAATATATATATATATATATATATATATATTTGGCGGTCGGTTTGGTCCAAACCGCCCAAAAAAGTTTCCAAACCGCAGACCGGACCGGACCGCCCGGTTTTGCTATTTTCCAAACCAGACCGGACCGTCAGACCACTCAAACCGCCAAAAACGGTCTGATTTGACTTGGTTCGGTCGGTTTGAGCAGTCCAACGGTTTTTTTGAACACCCCTACATAGCGGGAAGAAATAAATCTAACCGAAGCTAAGATTATTACCAGAATAAACAACCCGACTTTCTAATGAAAACATAAAATATACCTACTACTTGTAACACCGCATATCTTATATGGGTGTCATTACCTTCTTAAGATACTACTAATTCTTGCATGTGAACTCGACATTTAACTTTATTTCTTTTATAGGTTATGATTACATGAGAGTTCAAACACTAACGAAAACATAATTCAATAGCTTATAATACAACAAAAAATTTACTATTGATTAGAACGATACTACTTTATGCAATTTCACTTTACTTCTTCCCTGAGATACATACATTAAATATGTAAGCTGAAAGCTTTTGTAAGTAGTTACGGTTTCATGAATAAACAATTTTCATTATACTTATTAATTTGTAAATAATAATTCACTAAAACTCTTTATCATACATAAAAGTACTCTTTTGAGATCTCACTTGCGACATGTAAGCATGTCATACTTCTGTTGAGGTTAGCTAACCATGGAGTTCACAAACGCTGCCCCATAAGGTCCATTTGAAAAACGTTCCTTAATGTAGTATCACGTATGTTGCATATTTATGGTCATACATAACATGCATAAAATTTGCATGCCTTGTATGTAAAAACATATCATGACATGTCATCATACATATATCTTGGCTATATAAACATATCATCATTTCATGTAAAGCAAATATGCCAAAACCACTTATCAAATTCTTCATAATGCATAAAATGCATTTGTATAGCATATAAGTATCTTATAAATCTCATAACGTACTCACCTTAATTACCACTAGCTTTTCTTTGGATTCCTTACTTCTAACTTGGTAATATATTGAGAGAGTGATTTCTTATTTTGGTATGGGAATAATGGCGTCACGTCAACCACCAATTATAGGTGAATACAATGCACTAACTACTTGTTCTTCTTGCTTTCAAAGTTGTATTTTTATGAGAGTTTGACACCTCATGCTTAAGATAAAATAATCTTGACACATCATGCTTCTAGCATTTAATTGTTATGCTTATTAGACTTGCTTTGTCATTAATAGCTTTGCCAACACATACTTCTAGCCCTTACAACTCATAACTAGCTTGTTTAGACTTCTTTATCATCTATTTAGGCTTGATTTCTCATGTTTTTCCTTGTACACTGCTTGTAGGCTACTTGCATTGAAATGTGATGATTTTGTAGATGCTACAGTTGCTGGAACCCTTTTACTGCACTTAATTTACTAAATGTTTAAAACATTGAAATCTAACAAAAATAGAACTAGGGTGTTACAATTCTCTCCTTCTGACATGAATTTCATCCTCGAAATTTTACTCAAAAAGGTGGGTACTTATTCCTTAGACTTCCCATGTTTGCCTCTGATCCATGAGGATAGTCTCAATGAACTAATACCTATGATACCTCCTTGTTTCAAAGTTTCTTAATTTTATGCTCAGTGATAACTACGAGTTCTTCTACAAAGTTGAGTTTATCATCAACTGAGTTTCTGAAATCCGAACTATAACGTCTTCTTTGGCAAGGAATCTTCAAACTAGATACGTGGAAAGTATTGTGTATTTCCATCAGTTCTTTCGGTAATTCAAGTTGATACGCTACTACTCCCACCTTCTTATCTATCTTGTAGGTTCGTATATCGTGATTGTAATTTTTCCTTTATACATATTATTGCTTCCAAGATGAACAGAATACTTGGATTGTATGTTTCATCAACGATCTAAATTTGTCCTTAAAACCTTTTAATTCCTTGGTTGTCAGTTTCCAGTAGTTTGACTTGTCCGGTAATCCGTTCCCGCTTTGGGTTATCTTCCTCCAAGGCTTCTTGTTGTTCTTCACAAATTTGCTCCATTATACTTGCTATAACCATCATATTGAATGCCCATATTTTAATTGGTTTAACTGGTTCCTTTTGTGACTCAAAGCATCTGCTATAATATTGGCTTCCATAGACAATATTTAATTTCACAATCATAATATTTTGAAAAAATTCATCCAACGCCTTCGCCTCATATTTAACCATTTTTGTCGATTGTGGGATTTTCCATTTTATTATGCTATTAATCTTACTCGAGTCTACGATGATACCCCTTTTATTGATTACATGACCTAAGAACTAAACTTTTCTAATCCAAAATTCACACTTTGATAATTGTTCATAAAGATTTTCTCGCTTTAATAGTTCTAACGTCATTCTCAAATATTGTCCATGCTCTTCGTGGCTTTTGGAATAAATGAGGATATCATCTATGAATACGGTGATGAATTTATCCAGAAATGCCTTACATACCCTATTCATGAGATCCATAAACACAGTTGGGGTATTAGTTACACCAAAAGGTATAACTAAAAATTCATAGTGCCATAATATCGGGCTCGGAATGTTATATTCGGAGCATCTTCAATCTATACCATTAACTGATGATATTTTGAGCGTAAATCTATTTTTGAGAAATAACTTGCTCCTTGCAACTAGTCAAATAAACCATCTATTCTAGGTAAGGGATATTGATTCTTGATTGTGACTTTATTCAATTCTCGATAATCAATGCACATTTTCATGGTTTCATCTTTCTTTTTAACAGACAATATTGGTACTCCCCATGGTGACAAGCTTGGGAGAATGAACCCTTTATCAAGCAATTCCTGCAACTGACTTATAAGTTCTTGCATCTCAGATGGTGCAAGTTTGTATGATGTTTGTGCTATGGTTACCGCTCCAGGTGCTAAATGATATGGAATTTGATCTGTTTATTTGGTGGTAATTCGGGTAAATCATCAAGAAAAACTTCTAGATATTCACATGCGATGGGTATCTTTTCTACCGGTTTTTTCTCCTTTTTAGCATCTATTACATATGCCAAGTAAGTTTCACATCCTTTAAGAATGCATTTTCTCCTTTTTAGCATCTACAGACTTACTTCCTTGTCCTAATCTTACGAAGTCTTCCTCCGTCATTTTTATACGAGCATCCGAGCAATATCTTTTTTAGACTAAATCCTTAAATTCATCCCATAGCATTATGCTTTCGCTACACCTCTCATGGATTGAATGGTTTTCCACGGTGAAGAGCATTTAACTTTAACTTTGTTGAGGCAAACCTTACTTGTTGAGTGGGCACTCACTAACATGTTTGAAAAAATGGGGTCTGAAATAAGTAAAAAGAAAATCCAAGAGTAAATTACCAAATTTTTATATTATAATTTTAATTTTAATTCTGGTTCCGGTTCCACCGGGGGCTTCCCCAACTCCAAAGAGTGTGTCCGCCCCTGCTTGTATACCCGGTAAAAGACGGCAACGAGTATACCACTTGTCAAGTGAAATAAATCCAGGATATACAATAGGAGTATAAAACAAGATGATCAAGCTATTGCTTCATTAATTGCTTCTTAATACAAATCGAACTGAAACCTATCTGCCTATTTTATACCAACTTTCTTAATTAACTAAGACATGCATGCTAATTAATTAATGCTACCCTTCCAAAACGTCCAAATTAAACCAAACATGTACATAACATGACAAACTTCATACCAGCACTCGGTTCAATTGGTCGATTAGTCTCTCAAATCAACAACTACGACGCTGATGTTATCACTGCTCCGACGTCCCACAGCAAGACGTACCAGTAAAGCAGCCGCTGATGCTGATGCTGATACAGCTTCATGATCCTCTTGTTGACACTTACGCACTACCTCACAACTCATCTCATTTGACAAAACGTCCCACAAACCATCGCTCGCTAATATCAGGCTCGTATCCCCACCATTTCTTTTCCTGAATGAGTACTCCGGTTCCCATGTTACCACGTGTTTTAGAAGTCTGTCCCCTGTATATATTATACACTTTCATTTATTTCATTGTACCTCTACATACCTATAACATATATAGAGAGACGTTCACACGAGAATACTTTCTTTTTATGGAAACGCCAGGGTGACCTGACATCACATGTCACATGTGATTAATTAACTATAGTTAAAGAGAGCATATTATAGCGGTTTCGTAAAATGGAAGGTTTTTTTAAGATCGATATATAACCTATTGCTCGAGACATAGCAAGAACGCCTTCAACTCGTGCTCCATTTGCTGCAAAAACAATTTGACCTCCCAAACCTTCAATTCTTGATCGTTCGTCTTCCCGCTCAGGCTGCAGAAAACAAATGTAGAATTCCAACATCAGGCGCGCGCGCGCACACACACACATATATATATGTATATATTCCGTTAATTTCCACTATTTTATTTCAATGTACACACACACATATATATATGAGGTTGGGTTTCGATGAAAATGAAAGTTTTAATAAGAAAGATAAGAAAGGATCTTCATCATTGGATTAATTCTAATTGAAAATAACACAAATAAGATGCACCGAGATGAACCAAATCAATTCTCGTATCAAACGCAATTCATAAGACCGAGGTGATACTTAAAGTGATAAGGTCCAGATTTTCTTATGTCTCTCACCTTAACTTTTATTCTCACACAATCCTTCGTTTATATAAATAATATATAAAGAGATTGGATTCCGGTGAAAATACAACTTTGGGTTCATTCTTGGATCAATCAAAATTGAAGATCAGCACTAATGAAATGAATCGTATCAATTACAGTATCAAGCACAATTCATAAGATGGGACTAAGATTAAAAGCAATAAGAATCCAAATCTTTTTTATGCTTCTCTGAAGCAATTAATCAATTACAAACCACAAAGGTGGTGTCGATTGGTTTGAGTTTGGCTCCAAATGTCAAAAGTATCAGTAGGTCTCAGATTCAAATCCAAGGAGGAATAAAAATCCCCTCATGACCATGAAATTTTAAATGCAATGATTTCGAACTATTTGTAAAAAGAGTAGGTGTCATGGAATTGGTCAGCTTGCGTAGAGCGTAGAATAAAACAAAAAACACATATGCTTGCATTGCATGGTGACAATATTAATTAATTCCAGCTGCCCTCCACTCAACTATAGTAATTAATAATGATAACTTAAAACTGATTTACCTTGTGGTCAACGGAGAGGGGTACGGCCTTCCCGTTATGGCAGAGGACGGCGCGTGAGTCACCGCAGTTTGCCACGATTATGTATTCCGGTGTCAAAAGCGACACCACCGCCGTCGATCCTACCAGAGACAATTGTGGATGAAATCTACACACCCGCGAGTTTTCTAGCCCATCGCATTGACATAACGACTTCGCCATCTCATCCATCCTCTCAAAACTCCGGTTAATCGCACTCCGCCATAGCTCCTCCACTTCACCTCCCGTGGCTTTCACGCGCATCAGCTCCTCCTCCATGATCACATGCATCTTCTCCTTGCATAATGCCGACACCTGTCCAACAGAATTCTTAGAAATTAAAAGAAAGTTTTTTTTTTTAACGAATAAAAAGACACGTGGATTACGTGATGCCCTCCGTGACCGTCGAAAACAGCGAAGAAATGCACTGGCCCGTGATCGTTTATCTCCGGCCGGCATAAGTTCGTCCGAACCGATATCTCGTCCTCCATTACACGCGCCCTACCAACCACAGACATAAACCCGTACGCCGGTGACGCCGGCGTTTCCTTATTGCTAGTCAAGCTCGTGATCGGAGCAGAGGACGACGATGGCACGGCGTTCTTATCCTCATTCTCCTTCTCCAACGCCGCAAACTTTTGAGCTTCCCAGTTATCCGCTCCGGCGACAGCGGTAACTGAAGCCAACCTCCTCCTCATCTCGATCCTACGACGGCGCCGCTCTCGGCATTTAAGAGGCGAATCGATGTCCTCGTCAATCGGCATCAGACTCCTCCGACTACCGTACACCCGCCTCATTAATAAACGCCGGCGATCTCAGCAAAATCAAAACTTACCCCCATCTCTGATAAAATTAAGCAAAGTGAAAGACAGAATGGAAGAATATAAGGGAGGCGGCTGAGCTCGGTGACCCTGAAAGCCGACTAAATGCTTGTGTGATGATGCCACGTCGAAACCGGGTCAATTTAGATGGCGATGAACAACGATGGAAGCTGACACGTGACAGGTGAACTCTGAGATAAAGCTTTTAGATTGCACACTTGTGGGCCCAAAATGATTCGTTTAGTACCACGTAAGTCCGTTAGGAATTGACATCTTGGGCCCACTTTTATTCCTTTGGGCCAACGAATGGAGCCCACTACGTCAACCCACCATAACACCATACTGTTAAAACCAAAATAACTTTTCGTTATATGAAATTATGAATCAATCCAAAATAACTTGTATTTTCTTTCTTGTTTATCTACATGATCTTCGATTTTAATTTAATTTAATATTTAATAATGATCTAATTCAATTTAAAATATTAGAATAAACAACTTTTATCCTTCTTACAATTTTGAAATTATAAGATGGTTATCATAATCTGTAAAAACATTTGAATTTGGTTTATTCCTCTGATGACCGTTAAATGAGGGTCGTTTCTGTCATTTTATCATTTTTTTTGTCTTTCATCTTATCGAAGTCAATTTTATTATTTATTTTTTGTATTTTTTATTTCTTTTATTTTTCTATTATTTGTGATTAGTTTACCAAAGGTCATCACTATAACACTCTTGGTCCTAAGGGTGCTCAACAACCCGACCAACTCAACCCAACGCAAAATAACTTAACCCGAAGCAACCCGATGTCTAATCGAGTTGTAGAATTGTCAAACCGTAGGTATCGGGTTGATACTGGGTTACTATTATTTGAACTCAACCCAACCCAACCCGATATCCTTTTATTTCTTGGATTTAATATGATTGTTGAATTTCTATTAATATATACATTAGACAATTACACTATCATGTATGTTTTTCATATACACATATTTTCAATTTATTCACATTTTTATATAACTCATTCGTATATATGTTCAGTAACTGTGAACATATATATGTAAATTGAGAAAATTAATTGAATGTGTGATATACGTAAAAAGTATGGATAAGTTGTATCAAATGGTTAATGATCAAAAAGAAATTATGAGTAGAGAAATAATATATTTAAGGTTAGAATAATAYTTTGATGTACCAAAGTATCAACCCGACCAACCCATATGGGTTGGGTTGGGTTGTACTTTTGGCTTGGGTTGAGTTGGGTTAAGATTTTTCAAACCGCAAATATTGGGTTGGGTTGTTTAAGTGTGTTTAACCCTATCAACTCAACCCGTGAGCACCCCTACTTGGTCTGTGGTTTACATCAAGTTACAAATGTTGTAGTTAGAGTGAAGTAATTAAACCGAGGGTTCTTGTGCCCTAATCAGCTTAACTCTGAATCCATTAACTCATAAATAATTCAGTTAATTTACTTTTTTGTCCTTTTTGTAATTAAAAATTAAAAAGAATGTATACTTTTAATAATCAAGAAATGATTACCGATAGACAACTAATTAGCCAACGTCAGTTGTTGTCTGTTACGTAAACACATCAAGGACCGATGTACGGTCATTGTGACGGTTTGTAATACGTGTCACGTAAGCTAATATTATCACTTGCATGTCGTTGATAATGCGTTTAATAGTTTCTAATTTCAACCATGCAATTGACGACCGGTTGATAATTTTATGTTTTCATTATTACAAGAAACTTCTAGTTTTTTTTTGTGATTTCAATGGACTTTTTCAGTGTTTTGGTTGATACACCATGTATTTTCTAATATCTCTGAGTACTTTTCAATATTTAGTCTGTATACATTTATACCTAAAAATTCTATTTATGAAAATCAGTTAAACAGATATACGAAACCCTCCTAAATACTTCATAGATCCACCCCTAGCTAGCAATCAATCGTATATTATTTTATCAATGATATTTTGCTTTTATAACGTATAACATCTTATGATGATATCATGTACGTAATTCACAACTCGCCCACTAGAGACGTAACCAGTGGTTGCTAAATATAAACCAAATCCCCTAAAATTGGTCATGATAGTGATTTTTAATGAATGATAAATGATGATCGAAACTGCTACACAAATTGATACGTTTTTTTTTATATTTGTTGTATTTTCAGTTTATGACAGATACAATTAATGTTTTCTAAATATAAACTATTTATACAGTATATAATATGAAAAAATTACAAAAGGGGCTATAGAATATACAAAAACATAGCGTATGACGATAGGCATGTTCTCACATCTTGGTTTTTATGGATTTATGTGACATAATTGTAATACCTTCATATGTGAAATAACAACACAGTTTAAAGCTTTCAAAATCTGTTAAATTAAAAATAACTTTAGTAATAAAATACTTAAAGTTTACAAATGATGGAAGATGTGATATGCAACAGAGTTTTATAGGACAATCTAATCCTTGACAGAATAGAAAGTCAGGAGTTACTAAAACCATCAAGTCTACTATCTTCAAAAACCGGATGATGTCTCTAAAGCCATAATACCGGAACCTTTACAAAGCTCCAAGTGTCACCCAGATCCCACTAAGACCTGATATATACATGTTGATAAGAAAAAGTATTAGACTTAACTCCTAATAATACATAAAAAGAACATCTTTCCAAAACTCGTTATTTCTATATCAAGCGCCCGCTTTAGAATAACAGCAACATCCAAACTCATCCAAAACATGCAGAAGACTCACACTTTAAAACATCAAACGTATGGATAAAGCTCCAAATCCAAAACATTGAAATCATAGGTGGCAAAACACCTAGAATAACACTTTCCAATGACGGGAGAGACCTATTTCCATCGATTGTGGCAGGAACACAAAAGTTAGTCACTTATCAACGTTCTTGAGTTTCACCTCGGGTTATGGATCCTCGTATACGACTCAAATGAGTACCATCCCAAGATTCCCACAATGACCCTAGTGTATACTCGGACTCTAGATGAGTTTCACCACAAAATTCACTGGTCTATGGATCCAATGAGCACCACCGCAAGACCTAGCGCTGTATATGACTCAATAGAGTACCACCACAAGCTACTAGCTCTATATACAACCCAATAGAGTACCATTGTAAGATTTTAAACCATGACTTGGTGATCATTTACTAGACTTAAGTGAGGATATCAAAACTCCACACTTAACAATAAGATAGATTCAAAACTCCACACTTAACAACAAGATAGATCATATACACTTTATATTAACAAAATAACCATTTTTCACACACTTTTCACAACATAACCACTAGGATCAACCCGGGGGTGATTTGACTATATGGGGTCGATTTGACCATAGTTGTACGGAAGGGTTGCACACGTATCTAATTTAGGGGACAAAATCAGATATTATACCTGAAATA